TATTCGCTCCTGTTCTAAGATTTCTTACCAGCTGACCTGGTCACACTTCTATAGTAGACTGAATCCCAATTTGTGCGTTAAACTATTTAAGAGGTTGTTGTTTGGTATTGAGAGAAGCAAATTCTCCTCAATCAGTATTTTTCTCTAACAGATGCTCTTTTATTGCACAGGAATTTTTTAAAGCGCTGCATCTGGGTAAAGTTTTTTGAGTCGTTTCTTGAATTGAACTAATTATGAAACATGTTTTTGCCTCATCACGAGCTAAATTTTTAAGGTACTTACTACATAACCTAAAAGCAAATGATGTTCTTTTTACTATTAAATTCGTGAAACGCAAATGTGATTGGCGCTGTTATTTTTAGTCAAAGCAGTACTTTTGATTTTCTTGCTATAAGGGAGCATCTAAACTTTGATGTCGAAATGCATATCTCAAAAAATAAAAGAAATACGAATTTTCAGCAATCATATGATCTTTGCATCATGTCTCAGTAACGAAAATATCCCCTTTATAAAAATGCTAACGAGGTATTTTCATACGTGGCGAGGGATCCTTTGATTTGTGTGAAGCCGTTTTTTTTCCAGGCGATACAAAAGCATTTTATTAAAATTGGATTGTGTCCAACTGGAATAATTCAGCGTGACACGGCGTCACAAAAGGAATAATTTTGTTTGTAAAGCTGGCGCTAAAACTTTTAGTTGCGCAAAAATAAAAAGACTAAAGAAATAAACGTGGAATGAGAGAGTTATGTATTTCTGCAAGGTTGTGATTTATACTGTTGATTTAAATAAAAGTGCAACAGAAATACATATAAAAACGTCAGGTGTTAAATAAAATAAGCAAATTTATTCCCGTATGGATAAAATCAAGGAACAAGAAATTTGATGGCTTGATTAACAGTAAATAACGTGAACTGATTTGGTTGGGCATTTCTGAAATGTAGGGTAACTTTCCTTGCAGATTTCACATTAAAGTAGTTTAGACTGACGCGAAGGTGACATGCTTTTAGAAAGCCTGGCCTTATCAGAAGTTCCTATATACATAACTTGATTTTGTTATAAAAGTACATTTAATATAAAAACTTCTTGTATGCGCAAATGCTAATCTTACTTCTCTGGTCGCTTTCTTGGCAAGGTAGATTTCTAATGTTTCTAATGTCTTTCTTGTTGAAACTATTGAATTAAAGAAGTAAACTCATCATTATTGCTATTGCACTAGGGCCTGATATTATTAGACAAAAACCGAATTCAGAATGTTACACAGAATTCCACAAAGAACCACTTTTTTCTTTTTTTCCTTAACTGCTAACAGAACATATTGATCAAAGCTATAAGCTGATGGAACGAAAGACTGAGTAAGATCGATTAAGAATAAAAGAACTATTGTTACAATTTGATATACATATGAAAGGGCCTGGACATAGAAACCACGAAAAGATCGGCTGAAAGCGGAAGAACCATCAACAAGAAATTCTAAAAGACGCAAATCCTTTCGTTGTTCATTGTTTTAATAAAGTTTTTGTCGCATATGTAGGAAAGCAAGTTTGAGATGAATAAAATAAAAGTTAATATGTTTACTAAATCCACAAAAGTTAAGGAATTTAAAAAGGAATTGTTATAATGATCCAAGTATTGTATGATATTATTGCAATAAAAAATCTACTATACAAATATGATATCGACCCAAATCGGGTTTTCCGCCCAATATTATTTTTTATGAATATTTGCTCGTTATTTCTGCACCATACTAATATTATAATTGTTTAAAATAAAGATTCTAAACCAGATCCGGATCTATACGAGAACGATTGGCTTTCCGCGTATTTTACCAAAACAATTCTCTCAAAAAAGTGGGGACATGTGGTTTTTCTTCTGTAGGTATAGAATGTCCTGTTATAATATTAGCAGTTAATAACACGCGGTGGCCAAATTAAGTGTCTCGGTAGGTTAACAGTAGCCCCAACTTGTTTGTCTGTTTTCAAAGTCCGGTCTCTGCTGATACTTGTAAAAATGCAGATTAATATTGAATTAAACCCAAAAACGTATGTTTGTTTTGAACTAGTAACCTGTCATGTTACAATATCGTAAAAGCTAAGTGTTTTGAAATCAGAAGTTTGCCAATTTTTGCCCTCATACAAACTACATTAGGATTGACCGTATAACAGAAAATTTACGGTCTAAATTAATTGATTCCGTAATTTATTATCGCCACCAAGGTTAGGTGCCTTGCCATTCCGTCCTGGATTGATGACAGCGAATGAATCGGTTTAACATTGTCCACTTTTTCCCCCGCGCAACATGATTTAGGTCATGATTATCGTGATACGTGCTTTTAGGCATTAATCTCGATGGTTTATGGACTTTTTAATGTTGAACAATATGAGGTAAATGGAAAATAAACACATATTCCGACATATATGATAGAGGAATCCAGATTAATTGGATTTATATTAGTACGACATTAATACGTTAATTATTTTTTGTAAATCGCATTAACATGCACATTATTTTATATTCTTCTACTTTTAGCCATGCTTGTTTCATCATACTCTATTGGTTTTAACAATATTAGCTGTGCATAAAAATCACGCCAAATTTCAAACTAATCGGCGTCTAAAAATCTAAAGGCGTCACTCCGCAATTTTTTTCCTTTTGGGGCTATAAATCAAAAATGTACAGACATGTAAAGAGTCTAAAGACAGTCACAAAACGTCTTCAGATTTTAACAGCCTGTAACACACACAAAGGCATTGAATAGGGACTTTGGTTTTTTTGTAACACTTTGCATATAATCAGGAGACTTTGCCCGCAGCAGCCAAGGAGATGTGGCATATTTTCTTTAAATTCAAAATAATAATATTCTGATAACAATTGGAAAAATAATTTATTGGTCCGTTCCACATTCTACGAAACACCCACTTATGTCTGCTCCAATAAGAAAGTATCCTCAGCAATTTGCAATTTGTGTATGATCTGCTGCCAAATTGATAATAAATCCTCAATGTTCTGCTCAGCCAATTTAATGTTATCATCAAGTTAATCAACTTTAAATGATTATATTATTTTTTGTCAGTATAAAGAAGAATTCGCAACAATACGCCATAGTCCAATAAACCTGATCGAATGCGGTCTATAGGTCCAAATGTTTCAATCGTCACTCTGTGATGTGCAATCCATACCGTTGTAATGTTCCGAATATTTGTCGGCACCTCAATATTTTATCGTCCAAGAGATCAAAGTGCATAAAAGCCTTCAAATAATGTTGCTGGAAACGCAAATTACACAATAGCACAATAAAGTAAAACGAAGCTCATCCATGAAAACCACCAATGTAAAAAGAGGCGTAAAATACCTCTATAATTGTAAGTTTACAGGATGTCACTAATAAACTTTAAGTTGGTTTAATTATTTCCCGTGTTGAGCGACACGGTTGTATATACCTTGGCTGTTTATGATTAAATTAAAACCTTTTGTTCGAGTTGGAAAAAAATGCGGGATAATAGCGATTGTGGCTGAAGCTACAATATGGTCACAGCGAGCGGTAAAAATAATATTTCAATTTATAAACATTTATATTTTCAAGAGATTGTTATGCGCGCGATATTCTTGGATTATTGTGCTCATAATTATGATGTGAGACTCAGGAAATTTAAACGTGTGTACGTTTGATGTCTAATTATAAGTAAATTGAGTTACGCACACAAATGAGGAATTTAGGAATATTTATGTCATAGGACAAGCATTATTAAAAACTTCCAAAGCTTGTTTATATTTATCTGGAAAATACGGGGTGTTAATAGTTGTTGGATTCGTGAAATTAGCTGATGCTCATTAACTCAAATATGTGTGTTCCAAAAATGAATCTCCACCATCGATAATATATGAGCCATGAGAGTGAGGTTTTTTTGGACAAAAAATTAATGCCGTTATTATTTACCTTACATGAAAAATGTCAATGACTGGTCTTCAATTATTGGATTTTGGCTGTCAATAACTGGGAGTCTGAGACATTTTGCCATTATTTTGCAATTAAATCGAAAAAATTAGTTTTTTTCTCAAGTAACGCATTGGCCAGTTAGTAAAAACCTCAACAATTGTTTTAACGAGTGAATCGCACTTTAAAAGTAAATAGATTAGTTGCATTATTTTTCTTATAATGAAAATGTCCTAATAGTGTCGAAGACTGGGCAGTTTACCTTAATTAAACAAAATGTTGTACGGTGACTAGTTCATAAGGTGTCAGCATTACTCTACACAAAATCGAATTGGCTTCCTGTACTCAAAAAGTACATAATTTTCCGTATGGGTGTTTTTTAATCGTTCAACCGTTTTCTTGTGCATAGTAAAAGCAGGAAGCTTACTTCAGGAACACTCGGAAACGCACGCAGTGTTCTTCTATGTTCATTAAAGATGTATTGTCTACCCCATTTACTCTTCATACATTTAAATTTCGAACGTTTATTAACCTTTCATCCTTTTCCAACTGAAATTCTCGCTCATATATAATATATTATACACCTATTACAGTTTAAACTAGCTCAACACATTTTGCATGAAGCTGATTACAGCATAGTATTTATGTAAGGTCTGCAGATATTCTTGACAATCTTTTTATCCTCCTTAATTAGCAATGCATCCAGTTTAGTTCTTAGTGATGAACTAATATTTTGCTCAATACGAAATGAGGATTGCATATTAAGAAATTTTTACTGTCTGCTGATTACGAAATAGCATACGTGATGCATCGAATCTGATTTACACCTAAAATAAAATCAAATGCAATCAACAATGTATTGTTGATGAAAGTCAACGTAACAACCTAGGTAACAAAAGTAACAAATTTCTTTCAAAAAAAATCTGTCAGGTATAATTAAAATGCTAACGAATTTCGACATTACAGTTGAACCTATTTTTATAACACCTGAAGAGCGTAGGTATTTGAAATATACAATACCATTGAAGAAGTAACGGCATGATCGCTAATCACTACTCTCTTGTTTCAGCTCCAGTCTTAACTAATGCGGTCATAAAGGAAGAAGAACTTAGTGCAAGCGCCGACTACTTCATCAAATGCCCACAATGCCAAAAAGGATGCCAAAGCTTTCAGGCGCTGAAAGAACACATGGAAATTGCTCATACGGACCTGACAGCCACATCTGAAAATAGTCTGTCAGTAACCAGTGCTGTTTCGCCCACATCTTTGACAGGAATTACAGGACGCTATGGATGCTCGCAATGTAATTCTTCATTTTCTTCTAAAGAACACTTGGAGAAGCACGAATTATTGCACTCGCCAAATGCACAAGTGGTAAGTTGCTTCTTTAATTATCCCTTTAATATCAGTGGTTCCTTATCTAAACTCAAAATACCTCATCGTTCAGATACTTTTCAGTTATTTTGATTTTAATTTAATTTAATACTGATCTGCATAGCTCTGGTTTTCAACTAAGAAATGCTACCTATTATGATACACAGTGTTTTAAAATCAGACTTTCAGAACATTACATTTAATTTCATTAACGTATATGTTCTTTTTTGGAAGGTTTTTAATTTATATTGATTTACACTTTCTTCGGTGTGCGAATTTTAGCACATTTTGTACGTTTCAATTATTATGTGTGGCGATCCAGGTAAAAAATATGAATTTTGCTTTTTTAAGTGAGCATATACATAGTGCAATCTTATAGCTTAATACATTATTATTATTTTATTTATTGATTCATCAAAGTAGGAACATTTTGGAACTTAAAAATAATACGATATTGATGGCGCCAACGCGAATAATTGATTGAAAATACCGGATTTGTAACGTCTATGAGACTAATTCTCAGTGGTTTCTAAATGGAAGTTTGGGAATATCGGAAACCCAAACGAAATAAAAGAAAGGGCCGCTTTCAGCAATTTGAAGTGAATGTATAAATATTCAATTTTATATGCCTGTATAAGTTAATATGTCGTTTAAATTATTCTATTAAAAAGTGTATACTTATCACTTCTGTAAAAGTGTTTAGTAAGATTTCAGTCGTCACACATTTTTTTTTCGGTTGCTTTTGATTAGTAATTTTAAGCAGTTCACTCACGCGGCAAGACGTTGTAATCACTGGTCTCAATTTATCAGTGTGTGTTATTAAGAAATTCGCAAAAGAAGTTGATGACTTTGCCATAGCGTTAATGAAACTAATAACTCCATGACTGAGCAGTTTCTTTCTCGTAAGTTTTTAGAGCTAGAGATATACAACACTCCAACAGATAGTGATTCACTCTGTGATATCACCTATATTTATTTAAATTTCATGATCCTACAACTCTGTTGTTAAGCACCATTAAGAATAATTTCAAAGTTAAAATTTTTATTTTAATTCCTTCTTTATTTAGAAAAATCAGTAATTTTGATCCTACATTTGGTCGGCTGTGACATATTTAAAAGTTTCTTTTATGTCGCTAGAATTGTTGTACAAAAATATGTTTTTATTTTTAATTTAGGTGATTTCGTTTTTCATAAACCTAACGATTTTGATTTCGACAATTTTATTTACCTACTGTAATAATTATTTAAATTCATTGTAGCCAACTGATTCACGCTCTGTTTATACCAGCTGTCTCCCTGCCGTATCACCATATACTTTATAAACGAGTCATTCACTATGAGTGATTTTCCTCCCTTATCAATGTACTAGTCATATCAGCTATAATTTTACCGCAATTTTGATTTCGTATCGGAGGGACCAAAGTCCTCATCGGTGTTGCTTATTTCAAGGTTCAAATATAAAAAAGCATTATTTAATTTATCACTAATACAATAATAGTACATACGTTTACGTTAATTTTGTTCAGTCTGCTTTCGTCCATGGTATACATATATTTTTTTATGCTCTGTATATACTTTTCATTGTACAGTGACGCATTGAAAAAATACGAATGTTTATGGAAAGTTTGTATCATTTTGATATTTTTGTTTGTTATAATTAAATTGTTTTAACGTAACTAATGAGTGGTGAGATTTAATTTTAAGTTTTACTCACAACAGGTAGGTATAATGGTACAGAATTTTTTGAAAACCTATTCAGATAAAGCAAAACAAAAGTTTTGTATACTTACCAACATATGTTCTTCCAGTTTTACAAGTTATCCTCGTATAGGTAGAGAAAAATAAAAATATTCATATAGACTAGACAGTGGTAAGTTCGCAAACTGTTAACAACGATGCCTACTCTTACAGCAGAGGTAGATAACAGAATGCAGGTACAATAAAAAAAAGTGTCAAGAGTCAGAACAAGAAATACATAGTCAATATAAAAATGTAGAACTTAAATTTGATTTTGAACATCAGGTAAGTAATGAGTAGAACGTTATAAGTTGTACTGCAATAAATCAAGAGAATCATCAAGCTAAGTCCATTTTATTACACAAAACATTCGCGACCGTGACAGGACTAGTCAAATTTCTTATTCAAAAATCATTATGCGTTTTAATAAGAAAACCATCATGGGCATAAGTTTATCCATCGGTTAAATTCAAGATCCAGGATAACAAATCAACATAAACATAAACTAAAGAGCTGTTCAAATGTTCAATTGCGACAAATCAAGAGAATCACCATACCAAAATATCGTGTGAATTTTCTTACACAAACCACAAACTTTATACCTTGATTGGTAATTAACTAATCAACGTTTCAAATCTCATATTTTGCTTTCAATGAGACCCGAGCTTTACTTTATTGAAAGATCAGCGAATTTAGATAAGGACGAAAAGTCTACACACAATTGACTTCGAAATATTTTTGAATGTAATTAATGTGAGAAGTCGAATGTCCACAGGCCGAATTATGCCAATATGAAGAAATATTATACATATGTTTTATAAGCGTTTCAGTAATCTCTATTTAAAACGCTTCATAAGGTGCTAATCAGTATATTTCGTTTGTTTGCCGGTATAGGCAGGTTAATCTTTGTGATAAAACCGTGTATTAATCACGTTGATAAGTGGCAGCATGAAACAAATTCTCGGTTTTGCAACTTGATATAAACAAAGAAATTCTAGGTCACCAGAATTGCTGTTAACATGTTTGGCGCATATATAATTTTTATGGAAGTGACATATCATTTAAATAAATTCATCAATTCAAATCCAGTTAAATTGAGTGGTAATATCATAAACAACAAAAATATGAAAAAGACTTGTTTTTTTCAGTACTATATTTCGGTTTTTGAGAAAATAATGTGTGATATACTTCACTCACACAAATACCGTTTTGAACTTTCAGTGTAAAACATTGTAGGTATCAGTAATAATTAAACAACCTTTTAATAAAAAAATAGAATAATTTAACCTTAAAGCAATAAACTTACAGTCCAATAGACTTACCTATTGGAATTTTGTACATTTGACCGTGTGCAGTGGTCAAAATTAACTAAACTATTACGAACAAGAAATACGTAAAAGTACATCGTGTTGTCTAATTTATATTTTTCATTTTCTCATCAAGACGTTGGTTATTGGTTAGCTAACAAGAATAGGTATCTACATAATTTGTTACTGAAACAAAAGTAAAAAAAAATTACTAGTTGTTTAGACGCAAACCAAAACAATTTTAAATATGAAAAAGTACATAGGCACACACACAATTACAAGGAATGCGTCGCCTTACTTATATATGTATATTACTGATTACTTATATTATTAATAGAAGGATCCAATGCAATAACCGACCAAGACCAGTGTCGCTAATTTTTCAGGAGACACAAAAAACTTTGTTTGTAAGCGAAACGATTTAAAAGTTAAAAAACTAAATTACGCTGTACATTTTTGATCAAGGAAACTTACAATGTATATAAATAATATATGAAAACCAAACTGAACGAAAGAAAACATTAAAACCAACGAACATGCGACGCAACCTACCATCTGAAGTCCAGGACTCAGCTTGTTTTTGCAGTTTCGCAGAGTACGTACTTTAGATGTGTCTACATCAACCATGGATGCAACCCAAATAACACGTATGAAATTTTAGTAATAATAGCTAGAAGCCTGATTCTTGCACGGTTCGACGAAGCATTTCAAACTCTATGGTTACGTGTTGCAACTCATTTTACGTAAAAATTCAATTTTGGCGGTTATTGCATTGCACTTGGAATCAGCGCACATAATTACGTAAAAGTAAAAATCTTTCACACGCTTGTATGTACAGTGTCTATTTTTTCTTGCAAATAGAGGGAATCTCAGTTATAGAAGTCGAAGATGGATACATGCGGTTTTTGCAATACTCTGACCGATTTTTGTCAAATTAAAGGTGATGGTAATTGATTTGGGCCGTCCATGTTCGTTCAGCTACTATTTTTAGATACAAGCCAAACTTAGCTTTTTTAAAACGGTACACCCTGCATATTTTCATACATTTTAATTGGTTTTTAGATGGCCATTTCGGCAATTATAATACACAAGGGTTTACTCAAAATTTTACCAAAAAATTAACTTAATAATGATCGTATGTTTTTTTTTAAGTAGGCAATAGAACTGAAGCAAATGACATTAGCGATACCTTCTTGTTTAATTACTGTCAACAGTGCAGTGTATCACATTTCTAATTATATAATATTTTAGGTATACATACATATAAGATTTCAAATATTTGAACGACTTAAAGCTTATAGATACTTGCCAATTTTACAAAACATACAAACGGAAATATTGGATAACATCCCTTTAGCGCAATTGAACAATACATATTTCCAGCAGGATGGCGCACCTGCACATAATACTGGAATAATTAATTAGGCCTTATTTAAATGAAAGTTTCCGGAACATTGGATTGGCATATGCGATCCCGAGCGGTGTTACCAGGTCTTTGGGTAATGGATTTTTTCTATGAGGATATCTGCAGAATATTGTTTAACGCTTCCGAATAAATACCTATGCCGAACCCCTTAACGCCACCCATCAAACATCTACCCAAATTTAAACGCTGAATTACAAAAGTGACTGGAATGTGCAGTGTGCACTAATCAACGAGGTTATAATTTTGAACATTTAAATTTATTGTAGTAAACGTTTTCAGTAACATGTTTGTAGGTATTTCAATTAATAAAGTGACCAGTTTACCATCTAGATTTTTAAATATCTCGACAGTTATGAGTTATAAATAATTAAAAATAATAAAATATGTTCTGTTATGGTTATGCGGTTAGTTTTAGACATTTAGCATAATTTAAATACATATTATGGGCGATAATTATTACATTTTTTATTGTCTTTTTTTGGTTTAATTTCGAGTAAAGCCTTGTGAATTCTTTATTGTTCGACCGGACA